AAGAAATACTACTAAAGCTGCTCCTACCAGAGCCCCCTGTTCCAGGGTTAGACATCCCTGGGGCATCAGGGGTGCGGCCTGGCTTCTGCCCCACTCTTCTCTGGGGAGCTCTGACATGGCCTGTTAGCCCAGAGGCCATGGCCTCCTTGAGGCTCCAAGGCTAAGAAGGGGAAGCTGAAAGCCTCTTGCTTCCACCAGGGATCTCCCTGGAATTCTTGCAGTTTCAGGGTCCCCCTGCATGCCTGGCTCAACAACACTTAAGAGGCCAGGTACACAGGCAAAGGCATGCCCCCCACATCCCCAAGCCAGCTAGCTCAAGAGCCAGATCCAGGGTTTTGTGAGGGAGCTAAGAAAGGTGTCAGTTGGTTAGGTTGGAAGGAGGGAGCCAGGCCTAACTCTTGCTTCAGTGCGCCCCCACGCCCCCCCCTTAGCCTTGAACACTTTTGCCCCAGCATGGCAAGGGGGCTCAGCACCTTCCTGCTCTGGCTGACAGGCCATTTCCAGGAGGCCTCCTGGCCCTGCCTGTCACCCTCCCTTACTTGTTCAGTGTCTGCATTGTGTTCCGTTGTGTCCCCCATACTCCTGTTCCCAGACGGCATCAGTGGAGTCCGCTTGCTCTCCACTGACCCTCAGCCCAGGGCCTGGTCCACACCAGGAAGGCAGTGTAATGCTTGTGGGATGAAGAGACAGCCAGGTGAGTGTCAGGGACCCAAGGAGAGAAGGCTCTGCAAGCCACACCGTTGGGAGGGGATGACTCCCCAGTGAGGTCACTGAAGAAGGAAGGGCAAGTTAGGAAGCGAGGAACAAAGTGAGACTCAGCCAGAGGGTTGCCCAAGGGGTGCCATGGCAACCTGCTGTCAAGGCATCGGCTTTGGCCAGAGGAGCTCACTGAGCCCCCATAGAGAATTCACAGAGACAAGGAGAGTCAGGACTCAGGGGAGAGGAGGTAGGGCTGCCCAGGCCTGGAGAGGAGCCACAAGGAGGGCAGGGCGGCAAATTATGTGTGCTGCTTGATTAGTCAGGGAGCTAGCTAGCTGAGGAGGTCTCCGCAACAACCAAGAACCCAGGATCCCAAGGCCAGTCAGGCAAGTGGAGCCAGACCCTGCTTCCCGACTCTAGGTCCTTTCCATCCCCCTACCTGCTGTGACCACTGTGAACCCAACTGTGTACCTGTCTGCTCCTTAGACACTGACTAGGCAACTCAGATCCCAGGCTCAGCCTCAGACACCAGGTGTGACACTACCAGACGACTCCTGAAGCGGGGTGAGCCAGCTAGCTGTGACCTGGGTGACTAACACTGCCTGGGGATAGGCTTCTGAGAAGGTACCTGAGCCGGGTCTCAGAGGATGAGTCCATGCTTGCTGGGTGTACTGCCGGGAGGAAAAAGAGCCAGAGTGGCTCTGGAGAGAGGGAGGCCCAGCAGGTGTGTTTAGAGTCTGCTGCTAGTCTCTTCCTGGTGTCTGGTCCCGCACCCTGCACCCTCCTTCCCAGTCTGGCCTGTTAGACCCAGCTTCCTTAGACTTGCCTTCAAAGGACCACTGTGTCCCCACACCTGCCCATGACACGTCCACACAGCCATCCCCGCCCATACCCTCTCTTCTTGGCTTTCTCTTGTGCCGACCTCATCCCGAATGCACACAGCTCTGGCTTCCACCTGTAACAGTTGCATCTACCATGCAGGCAGCACTCACTGTGTTCCGAGAGTACTGTTCTTAGTGCTTCCCTCCCTCAAAGCCTTGGCTGGAAGAACTGCTACTCTATCCATGTTTTATAGATGGGGAAACTGAGTCAGGGAAGCTACACAGAGGGAAGGGGGGAGCCAGGATTGGAATCGTGCCATTGACCACTGCAGCATGCCACACCAACCTCTCCAGCCCCTTCCCTGGCTCTTAGCCTATACCATTGTGAAGGAGCTTCCGGGTTGACTCATATAGAAGCAGAATCCTGGGATCAGAAGCTGCTCACCTTCCCTCACCCTGCCTCAAGCCACAGCCTGAGCCCCAGGAGCAGGACAGACTTGGGGAGCTGGGCTTGAGACAGCAGGTCGGCAGAATGCAACGACCCAGCACTTGCATTTTCCCGGAGAGTCCCGGGGTTGGACCAGTAATTCCTGTAGTTCACTGAATACTGGGAATACTTCAGAAACAGTCGCTGCTTGGCCTCAGGCTCCAGTGTGCTCTAGAGTCTGGTCTGGGCAGGAAAGAGCGGAATTGGATGAAGTTCCTCTCCTGCGGTAGTCTTAGTCCAAGCAGGCCAGCAGAGGCCTGAGAGAGAAGTAACATGTGGGGTAAACTTCCAGAGAATGGCAGGTGCTGTGGAGAAAGATTAAGCCAGAAAGGGGAAAAGCAGCATTGGGTGGGGGCGGATTTGTAAAGGTGAAGAGAGGAAGCTTCGGACGTTTGTGCACAGAGCCCTAGGAAACAAGGTTTCCTTGTGGGGAGAGGGTCACTTCCAGCAGAGGAAATGGCAAATACAAAGGCCCAGGGCCTCAGTAAGGACTTTTAAGTTGGAGGGCGTGGCTAGAGCAGAGGGCTGAGGGCAGAAGAGCTGAGGTGGGGGTCAGAGGGAAGAAAGACCATGGCGAGGCCTTTGGCTTTCAGGCTGAGAGAAGAGACAGAAACCGAACTGTAAACATTTAAAGTCAGCTAACTGCTGTGTTGAGACTAAAGTGTTGGGGGATGAAGCAAGGGGGGTGAGCCCAGCCCAGCCCTCGGTCCTTCTGCAGGGCAGTTGGCCTGGGGTGATAGCAGCAGAGGTGGGTAGTGGAGATGCTAGGTCACTTCCCAAGGACAGCCAGCAGGGCTAGAGAGAGCAGGCGGGAGCCCCCCAGGAACTAGACATGGAGGGAAGGAGTCACCCTCTCACCAGCCAGGCAAGAGGGTGGAACAGGTTTGGGAGGAAACCAGGAGTTTGTTTCTCATACCAGCCTCTTGCATCATAGAAACAAGGCAAACCGTTTTGTAAATATGTATTTATTTATTGTGTGTGTGCTCACACGCTGCCGGGTGTACCCGTGGAGGTCAGAGGGCACCTTGCAGGAATCCATTCTGTTCTCTCCTTCCACAGTGCTGGATCCAGGGATCAAACTCAGGTATTCAGGCATGCAACTTACCCTCTGAGCCATCCTATCCTGTCAACCCATTGTTTGGAGGTTTGGAATGAAGCCAATTGGCCTTGAATTTGATAGCCTCCTACCTTCAGATCCTCCTGCCTCTGCTTCACAAGTCCTAAGCATGTGCCACCACATCTGGCAGCAAACCACTTTGCTCAAATGTCTTTTTTTTTTTTTTTTTTTTTTTAAAGTGAGATTGATAGAAAACAGCCATAGATATGGTTATGCCTTGTATCAGAGGAATATCTGAGGTTTTTTTTTTTGTTTTTTTTAAAGATAGGGTCTCTTTATGTATTCCTGGCTGTCTTGGAACTTGCTACATAGACCAAGCTGGCCTCGAACTCAGAGATCCTCCCTCCCTCTGCCTTCCAGGTACTGGAATTAAAAGCATGCACCACCACATTCAGCCTCAAATCATTTCTTGAAATTTGAAAAGCAGGAGCTTTTGAGTGTCTAAAATTAAGGGGGCAGAGGGAATACAAAATTTTGAATCTCCTAGGAAATGGTCAACTAAAGTCCTGACGTTATTTAGCCATTCGTTTGCCTAATGAATACTTAATAATCATCAGCCGTATGCCAGGCGTGGTGCTTGGCCCTGTGGACACTGCAGGAAACAATGCTGACCTCGTAGTCAGGGAGGGGGTCTAAGTCAGTTCACTAAGCAAGCGAGGTCTCTGCATGGTAGAGGGTCAGTGATGCAATAGGGGAAAGTTGTGCAGGGTCGGGGACTGGCAAGGGTGGCGAGCACAAGCAGTGAAGGCTGTGGGGTGGATGTGCCGGTGAACTCCCACAAGGAGGGGGCGGTTCTGCAGTGTCTCCGCTCAGACACCACGTGAGGGCCCAGGCTCCAGAGCGCAGCAGCAGGTCATTTGCGACCTCCTAGTGCCTTGCAGTCACCTCTCCTGTGCAAACTGGAGCCACTGCCAGGACTTGAGAGCAAGAGACGCATGCTGTGTAGACAGTTGCTTTGCCAGGATCTCCTTCTGCCAGGAGACTGGCAAGGCCAGTGGAGGCCTGTCCTTCTGGGTGATCATCACTACTTGCCCTGAGGTGTCTGCCCTAATGGGCTGAGTGTTTGCTGAGTTGGCTCTGCAGGAGGTAGGGGGTGAGGGTGGAGAGGGTGCTGGTCTGATCCTGACCCTCCCTCTCCAGGACCTTTACGGACCAGAGAAGCCTTTATCCAGGAGAGAGGGTGGTATGTGGGGGCGGGGTGATGCGGGAAACAAAAGAGAATCTGAGACCAGAATGCAAGACTGCACTGAGGCACCACCAGCCTGCTTTCCTGGAGCGAGAGGAAAAATAGGAATGAGCAAGTGAGCTTGTCCTGTGCTTTCCCTGCCAGCCCTGCCCCCAGCTCCTGGAGCAGGGAGGGTCCTGGCTCTGCTGAGGCCGGTCTTCAGTCACTCTGGGGGCGTGGTCTTTGAGGCAGGGAGGGGCAGCCCAGTGCTTGCTTGCACAGCTGTGAGCCTCCAGCGTGCGAAAGGGCAGGGCTGTTTTGAAAATTATCCCTACTCTTTTTGAAAAGTATCCCAACTCGGAAGGCTGGCACAAGGCATCGCCGCTCTCGGTGCAGCCCCAGATGGAACCTATCTGCCCAGATCCTTCCTCCCCGTCTTTGCTGCCTTCTTTCCACATTGCAGAGAAAGCCTGGCCTCCTTCCAGGAGCCAAAGCCAGCCTGACTCCTGGTCCCTCATCCTCCTCTCCCTACCCAGCTGCTCTCCAGGGCTTCTGAGGTTGAGGGCAGCTGAAGTGCTGAGCAGGTGCTGGTGGGTGAGTCACAGGAAGAAGCCAGGTGTGGTGTGCCGCCCGGCTGGGCTCAAGCTGAGAACTGGACTGGGGGCTCAGCTCTCTTGCCTGTGGCCACACTGCACCTGCTAGATCTAAGGAGTCGGTCCTCTTGAACTACCCCGACACTGCCCCTTCGGCCGCATCCTCCCTATCCCTAGGGCTGACCAGGAATGGCCTGGAGAGGCAAGGACTGGGACTTGCCTGCCTCTACCCAGCCGTACCCCGGCCTCTGCGCAGTCCTTGCTTGGGACCCTATCTAGACTGCTCCAACCCATGTTTGGGGTGACCAGAGGGAGGGGCTGGCTTCAGGACTGAGGCAGGTAGCATCCTTCCCAAAGGATTCAAAGCCTCTTTTGTTCAGAGGGATTGGGCAGTTTCATCAAAGCTAAGCAGGAGGTGGGGTGCCTGGCAGATTAACACATCAACCAAATGGCTGTGTAGTCCTTGCAGAGGAGTCCCCATCTAAACAGACCCACTGAAAGGATGTTTCTGAAACTGAGAAGACTGAATGTAGATATTGGATGAGAATGAATTATTGGTTATTGTGTTGGACAAGAAAATCGTATGGTTTTTTAGGAAAAGAAAAGAGGGCTGGGCAGACACACCCCAGTCCTCAGAGGCATAGGGAGGGAGGTGCTGCAGGCTGGAGGCCAGCTGAGTCGGCAGAGGAAGTTCCAGGCCCTGGAACCATGGCAGGCAGGACCGACCAAACAAAACGGGCCACTCAGAGGGTTTGTTGCTCTAAAGGCACTTGCCACCAAGCTTAATGACCTGAGTTCAATCCCACTCTGTTGAAAGAACGAACTGACTCCTGCAAATCATCTTCTACCATCTGGGTGTATGTCATAGCTTGTTTGTATACACACACACACACACACACACACACACACCATGTAATAAAAAAATTAAAAGAAACGACAGGCCTGGTGGTCCATACTTGTAAGGGTCACAAGGTTTAGGTCAGCTTGGGACACAAGGGGAGACCTTGTTTCAAACAAACAGTGCTGTTGCTATTGTTGGATACTGTTATATTGTGGGGGACCCTCCTTTTCTGACTTCTTCATGGCTTAGAAGAATCAATGTTTGGAATTCGTGGGAGGTAAAAGTGTGGTAAAGATTTAGAGGCGTTAGGGACAGGCAGGCAGAGCAGTTGTGCTCTTGACTCACAGGATGGACAGACAAAGCCGAAGACACATTCTCTCTTCTTCCTGTGGATTGAACATGTCACAGCAACAAGCTAAGTGACAAGAGAGAGATGCAGGGGACACTATGCTATCAGCTGAAGGGCCGCTCGGGTGGCCGAGGTCCAGCTCAGTGGCAGAGGGAATCTCTTTCTTACTCTTCATTTTGCAGGGAATTAAGCCTCTGGAGAGCTTCCTAATTCATCAAATTAAGGGAGGGCTCCCCCTCTGCTAGCTACTGTGTGTGTGTGTGCTCACACACATGTGCACCTGCTCATGTGCGCGCGCACACACACACACACACACACACACACACCCATATACATGTACCTCCTCCTAGGAAAAGGGTGTGGACCATTTTAGGGAGGTCACAGAGCTCATAAGTGAGAGGTAGATTCAGGACCTGGAAGCTAGGGTTATGACCCTCTCCAGCAGTTGAAGGTGTCTCCCAGAGCACTTGTCCACAACTCACTCAGTCTCCTTTCTCCTCCACAGCTAGCCTTGCTCAGCCAGCTCCTCAGCCTCATGAGACCATCGTCCCTCAGGCAGTGTCTGGGTGCTGAGACCTTGCCATCCTGTCAGGGGCAACAGCCAAAGCCCAACGCTGAGCTAGACCACAAGGTAAGCACCTCAGCCCCTGCCGGCCTTCACCAAGACCCTGCTGCCCCATTGAACAGGGAGGTGGGGCTGTCCGCATCGCACAGCCTGAGGGGCCTGTGGCTGCTCGTCCTTCCAGAACCGCAAGCCACTCCAGGACGGGGGCCAGCAGGCTGCCTTTCGTGTAGGGAGGAGGCGCCCAATATCCCTCTCAAGCCTGTAATTAGCACCCTTGCCCACCGGTGCATGTGGGTGCAGGTGAAGCTGTGCGCCCAGGCACACCAACGGAGCTATCCCGGTTTTCCTGTTTATTCCCACTAATCTTGACCAAGGCTTAGCCCTTGACCTTTCTCCAGTTCTTCCAAATAAGTTCTTCCGAGCCTTGACCAGCTTTCCTGAAAGCCAAACTTAGGTGCGAGTCAAAGGCACTGGAGGACCCTGGTTTGGGAGGTTGAGGGTTAGGGATAGCAGAGGCCTGTGCACCCCTGGGGTTAGTGTCAGAGCAGGGAGCAAGGTGAGTGAGGGTGGGGGCTTCCAAGTGGATCTCCGTGGGCTCTTCTATTGTTAGAGATTCAGGATAAAGAATGGAGATAGGGATCTTCTAATTCAGCAAGGCAGGGATTCAAAAATCTCATTCCTGAGGTTGAATATTAACAATCCAGAAGTCCAACCTTTGGGCATCACTCTGAAAATCAGATAAGTGAATTAATTACTTAATGAACACAAATGAACCATTAAGAAGATAGGATAATCCCCAGGTGCACGGAGCACACTCCCCTTCAGAACATGCAGGGAAGGTTCCTTCGCCTTGGGATTTGAATGAGTGCTTTTACAAGACTACCGACTCCCAGGAAGGTGGGGGCCATCCGCACATCCCTTTTCCTTTGCCAAGTATTTCCCAGGAAACAGGAGTGGATGTCACAGACAGGCTAGGGGACTCTAGGAAGGAGCTGGGGTCAGCTGGGTGGGTAGTCTGTCATAGTTGGATACTAGCAGCCCAGGGGTGACAGAGGAGAGGAGTGTGATAAAAAGGAAGAAGAGGTTGCTGTCTGCACTGGCTGAGTGGAGACTGAATCCAGGAACTTTTGGGGCCAGGCTACAGCCTCGCCCAGCAGGGGTGTGGCTTTTACCAGGCCCCAGGCTTCCACTGGGCTGACCACATTTCTGACCTGCTGGTAGTCGGGCCAGGAGGTGTCAGGGGATGGGAGGGTGAGCAGGCTGAGGAATCCTTTATTTTGAAGGCTCCAGGCACAGCCGCCCCTCCCTCCTTGGTTACCTATTAGAAATCATCGTCAGTTTGGCCTTAAAGCTGGAGGAGAGGAGAGCAGCACATCCAGGGTGCTTACTGTCCCCAAAGCAGATTACACTGGTCGGGGGCAGCAGGAGGGGCAGGTGGGGCTGGGGTGGCCCTCAGGACCCCTGTGCTGCAGCCAAGACCACTGCAGAGCCTCTGGGCTCCCCTTGACCTTGACCTCTGCTGGTGAAGTAGCCAAGAGCGGAGGCGATCAGGACCAGGGGTTGGGACAGGGGGGACTAGTGGGGTACCAGGGTAGAGAGAAGTGTGAAATGGTTCCAGTTCTGTGCCCCGGGCTGGGTGCTGTGGTGACTGGGAGGGGCCAGGCCGGGCAGGTGACTAGGTCCCACTCCACCTCAGCCAACTGACTCCTCATTAGACCTGAGCATGTTTCATCTTCAAAGATGAGATGGGGCTACTCACCAGCCAAAATGAGCAGCGGCGTCATCCGCCCTATTTTACAGGGAGTGGTGGTCTGGGATGGAGCAGCCTTTCATCCCCAGAGCTCAAAGTCTTTGCCTTTTTGCTTCTTGAGTGCAATGGGGAAACTGAGGCCAGAGTTCAGGTCAGTTGGAGGTGATGGTGCATGAAGGAGACAGCTTCTTCTCCGCCTTTGAGGCTGCCATGCCGAGCTTCTGCCTGTCCCACGCTAAATACACTCCTGTCTGGGAGATTTCCTGCCCTACACTGCAGGGGTCACAGCCCTCCTCCACCCCTGCAAATAAACACTTCTGCAGGCTCTTCTCCTGGTCTTCCCACCTCCTCCCTCCCCCAGAGAAGAGACAAGGGCACAACGTGGCTCCACGGTTGTCCCTTTGCATGTCCGGCCGGCTGTCTAGCTGGATTGTGGGCACGGTTGGTTGTGTGTCTCAGCATTGCATGTTTTTGCCACTAAGTGAAAGACTGAACTAATGAATTGTGTTTCATCCCTCTCTTCCCTGTGGCCATCTGCTCTCCTGCCCCTCCCTCTGCTCTGCCTTTGACCAGTGGCAGCCCCCAGGTCTCTTAATATCCTTGTATCATTAAGACCACAAGCATTTATGGAACTCTGGACTTCAGAAGTATTACCTTGAGTAATGAGAGCACCAATCACAGGGCATTGTTGGTAATTATAAGTTAGCGAGGTTCCTGCCTGGGAAAGCTAACCACCAAGTTCTTTAACAAAAGAAGCACGGCTCGGCTTCCACTCTGTGGGGGCAGGGAGGGGAGCTCTGGACTGGCGGCAGGGGCAGGCTGGGTTCCCAAGAAGGCTGTTTGTCCTAGCAGGACCAAAGTCGCTTACCATGCTATTAGCACATACAAAAATCCGCTTGGAAAAGAAGGCTTTCTGTGGGGGCCAGAGTCTAACTCTGTAGTAGCAGGCTTACCTGGTATATGTGTGTGGTCCTGTGTTCAATCCTCTGCACCACCAAAAAGGGTAAAAGGAGCTTTATATGATTAAAGTATAAGATTTAGCATTTTAAAGTGCCAGGCTCAGTGCCTAGCACCCCTAGTCCAGGCTATTCAGGAAATTGAGCCATTCGGTGGTAGCACACACCTTTAATCCCAGCACTTGGGAGGCAGAGGCAGGCAGATCTCTTGTGATTTCAAGGCCAGCCTGGTCTACAGAGTGACTTCCAGGACAGCAAGGACTGTTTCACAGAGAAACCCTGTCTCAAAAAACAACAACAAAAAAATTGAGGCAAGGAAATTCATTCTTCAAGCCCAGGAGTTCAATTCCTGCCTGGGCAACATAACAAGACACCATCTCTAGACATTTATATACAGTGCTGATCTCCTTGATGGCTATCTGTGCCCTGGCTTGCCTGGCTTACGCTGGCCTTTCCCAGAGTAGAATAAACATCTAGGTGAGAAGATGCTTGGGGTCTGGCATCCTGGCACCACCTAGCAAAAGGCAGGCATCCTGTCTGTCAAAGCCAGGTGGGAGGCGACAGTGTTTACACAGAGGAAAGTATAATAACACCAGGGCTGGCCTCCCAATGCTTCCTTTTGGCCCAGGGACATGATTCTGCCAGAGACAGCTCCTTCCCAGGCCCCTGTGAGACTGGCCTTCTGGCTGCAGACAAAAAAACGTTGCATAACTTGACTTAATTTTCTCCTCCTTTCAGCCCTCCAGCCCAGCACCAGGGGTTCCTGGGGGCATTTGGTTTCAACTACAGTAGGTGTTATCTGAATGTGGCCAGATTTAGCCTAGTTACATTATGTCCACTCTTGGAGTTGAGTTGTGATCCATTCACTTTTATAGAGGTGGTTGATGTTTTGATCTTGTTAAATCTGCCGTTATATTTCTTGTTCCTGTTTAACCACAGTTTCCAAATCATTTTTGCTTTTTCTCCCAGGTCTATTGCTGTGTGTGTATGTATTTACTATGCATAAGTCTATAAATACATATGTATGTATATGTATGTGTGTGTACACATATGTATATATACATACTTGCACTTTTTTCTGATCCTGCTGAATATCATACCCTGTCACATGTTAAGCATGTGCTTGCTACTGAGCTACAGCCCAGCCCAGATGCTGTATTCGTGAGGTTCCTTCCCCCACCTAGAGATTGGAAGGTATAGGGAACCAGAATCTTGATGGTAGGATGGGAGTGTCTCTAGTTGGTTAAATTTGAGGAAGTTAAACCGTCTCCCATTGTGGAATGAAAACTGAGGATAGAGAGGCCAGCTTGGCACTGGGAGCCGACTTCCTTTTTGCCGTGTGCCTCCTCCCAGCCTGATAGTGGATGCCTTCCAAGGATGACAGCTGGAGGCTCACCGGGGACTCCATGGGTCAGCCTCCTGCAGGTGCATGCACTCCGTGTAAGTTCCCAGGCTGCCGCCATGGGTGCAGCAGAGGCCTGGGGAATGCTTGTTTATGGAGGAGGAGCACTGTTTGCAAAGAAGTGATTTTCTGGGGGTGGGGTGTGCTTTTGACTGTGGGTGATGCTGGGGGTAGGCCCCAGCCGGCTGCTGCTCTGTGGAGGTGTGTGTCTGCCCAGCTTGTGCAGAGGGCATGGGCCTGCCCTGTGTTTGTGTGCAAGTGCCCTGTGTGCATCTCCTGTAAACCCTTGTGGTGTGCCAGGTGTGGTGAGAGACTTGGTGAACAAGTTCTGCTGCTTCTGCCGCTGCCCCTCCAGACTGCAGCTGTCTGTCCCTGGGCTGGCTGACCCTGCCAGGAACTGCCGTAATGGGAGGTTGTGGTAGGGAGAGACCAGCTCTCGCTGCAGGGACAGCACAGGGCTGGCGGCCCTCTGGCATCTCTGTGCTCCTCTCTGGCCTCTCTTGCTGGGACTTCCAACCCCAACAAGGGAATGTGTGTTCCCTGGGGCTTGGCCTGAGCCTGTATCATCTTCAAAGACAAGTAAGTGGATCCTGGAGCCTCTCTGCCTGCCCTTTCTCACCTGAAAGTGCAGGAGCCCCCTCAGCAACCCCCCCCCCACACACACACACACAATGCTGTAAACTTGGGTCAGGACAAGGTTAAGAGCACCAGGAGGAAACTGGATTTGAGGAATGGAAAATAGACATGCAGACTCCTGAGTTCTTCCTGGCCAGCTTGTGGTTTTGTTGCATCTTCCTTCCTCCAAATGAGAAGCATTAGCTGTATTTTGTCATCAATCTGGTGGCCTCTGAGAAGCTGACCCTGTAGATGAGTTGAACTACATGCAAGTCTAGGTACTGTAGACTCAGGCCCAGGCCCAGGCCAGCTTTGCCTGGTTCCCAGAAATCTGGCTTCTTTG